CAAATGCTTTTTTTAGGTCAATAAATATCCCCATCGTGTATTTCTTCTCATCCATAGCACTTGTTATGTCCTCCATCAGGTCGGTAATGGCCAAAGATGTCGATCGGTTCGACCTAAAACCATATTGGCAATCAGAGAGGATTTTATGTCTATCAATAAATGTGTCTAATCTGTTATTAAAGAGTTTTTCCAAGATTTTTGAAAACTGTGACAACAGAGATACCGGTCTATATGCCTACCTGTTTGTCTCTGGAAAAGTCACTGGCTGTGGATGTTTCAAGCTTATGCTACTTTAAATTTGTTCACATACTCATTTAGCTAATTCAAGGTCCTTTAGGATGACTCAACAGCCCCTCCGATAAACACATCTCCATGAACTTTTGAGTGAAAATGGTTCCTGGATCTCCCAGAATAAGCCAGAACACGTTTCTGTTTATACACAGAAGGCTGGAGAGTGTCTCCAGGCCACAGATGAATTCAGATATTGATCTTTTTGCTTTTTCAGGTTTGATTTGTTCATGGAAGTTGTATAAAGCCTCTGATTTCAGTTTAAGACTAAAATATGCATTGCTTGACAAATTACAGTCATAAAAATAGCTTGCTGAACTATATGTCACTCTAGCACCTGCTACTCTCCTGGTGAGGAATCCTCCTTTGCTTCGGGCCTTTAAATATTTTCGTACTCGTCTTCTATGACAGTTTAAAGTTGGTGTTGTGCAGCAGCTTGTGCACCAATTTAATTCCTTAATATTGTGTTACATAATTTGTGATCATGGATTAGGTTTGTTCTTGGAAGGATTATCTATATAAGCCTGTCTTAGTGGTGGTATGTGGTGAGGATGTATAAACAAATTTAACTTGTCACCCTTGACAAACTGCAGTGAGGACAGGTGCAGTGCTGCTTCTCTGAAAAGAGAAGAGTTAAAATCCACTTGTAAATCTTGGCATTAGTTTAGAGAATTGTTAAAGGTGACAGGAACTCCTCTCTAACCTTTTACATGCATTTGTGCGTGTGTGTATATGTTACTGTCTGTTTTTTTGTGAGTACATTCAGTGTGTTTGTATGCATGCCCTCAGTCCTCTCTGGGCTACCTCTACATACTGTGTAAATAGAGTGAAGACCAGTGGAGAGAGAGAGAGAGAGAGAGAGAGAGAGCCATTGGTCTGGACAGATCTGCTGGATTATGGGCTTGTACCAGGTCAGACAAATTGCATGGTGAGGGGGGAGAGAAAGCAGCAGGCAGTCTCTTTTGGCACACTGACTGTACAGTGAAATGCTCTGTGGTTATGGAGGATGTAATAGAAATAA